AAATCTTTAAAATAAAAAATGTTCTTCAACCACCCAATCCATGAATCTCAACATCTAAACATGATTTTCATGTAATTTTTACACCAAATGATAGAGAATTTCAAGAAGAATAATTCTCTATCTAATAGTTTAACCCAAAAATCAAAGAAAGTGTCTTAAACTGAAAATATTTTTTCTCACCTTCCATGGAGTTCACGGCAGCAAGGGAGAGAAGATGAAAACTTTTGCTGATTTTTCTCTTCATTTATTAGTCTTTACACTTGTTTTAATCTAATAAAAATGAATTTAAAATCCATTTCATGATAAATTCTCAAAATACCATTAATGAATCTTGAAAATTACTGATCGTCATTGAAAATATCTTCCATTAAAATATCTCAAAGTCAAAGATGAACCAAATTTAAGTTGACTTTCTTCTTTGGCCATGCAATTTTTGAAAATTGCATTTTTAGTCACCAAATTTCCCCAATTTTGGTTAAATAGAGAAAATTGACTTCAATTCCACTGATCCATGATAAATTTTACTGTTTTAAATTATGGAAATAATATTTCCAAACTATATCTAACATACTTCAAAATTTCGTAAAATTTTGGTTCGATTCGATTATCTGATTTCTTATCGGACTTCGTTGTTTTATAACTTTTAATACAAATTCTGAATCAAAATTTTGACTCCCATGAAAACAATTATTTTGGAACAAAATATCCATTTACGGGCCAAAAGATATAACTTTTAAAAATTACATTTTTGGTTCCTAAACTTTTCCAAATTTATCCTTTGGCCACTAAACATTTAAAACTTACATTTTGGTCACTACCCAAAATTTGGGGTATTACATGAACTTTAAAAAAAATCAATTTAGCCCTCGAGCTTGAAATAAAAAAAACAATCTAGCCCATTTATCACGTAATCAGTCATGTCACTCAGCCATTGTGGACTGTCACGTCAACACCATGGACCGCCACATTAGCACCGTAAAGTGTCATGTCATCATCGCAACGATCAATGACCAAAACCGTTGGTCAAAGGTCCACATTGAGTGCAACAAAATGACGAGGGCCACATTGATTTTTTTTTAAAAAGTACAAGGGTTTCATGTAACCTTTTGCCTAATAATAATATCAGTTTATTATTATTTTACAATTTTATATTTTGAACTACTGTTTTAATAACACTTCTAATCAGGGGTGTTCAAATGGGTAATTCGGTTAATCGACCAAATCGAATTACCCAAATTTCATTAATCGAATTTTTTTCTCCCTTAACTGTTAACCGAACCGAATTTTTTCTAAAAATTTAATCAAACCGAACTAAGTTTGGTTAATTGACCGATTAACTAAATTAATCGAATTAACCAAATTTATAAATAATATATAAATAATATATATTAAATATTAAATATTAAATATTTTTTGGTTTATTCGGTAAAAACTGAGTTCAAACACCCCTAAAGCTAAATAATGTATATAATATATTAAATATTTAATAATTTCGGTTAATTCGGTTAATTAACCGATTTTGAACCAAATTAACCGAAACTGAAATTTGAAAAAAACCATTAATCGTTAACAGACCGATTAACCAACCGAAATTTCGGTTCAGTCGGTTAATTCGATTTTAACCGAACAATGAACACCCCTACTTCTAATATTATTTAGATATTGTTACTACCTGTGAACCTCAACCATGTGAACCTTTAGTCCTACGAACATATGAAGCGTATCCTGCTAATGACTGTGTCGAGCACTTATGATTCCTGCGAATACATGATGCATATGATCACCGATGATCATGTGTCAATACACACGATCTTTTACGATGACCAACTGGTCTATGTCACTACTTTCTAAGACGTCTAATCAATATCAACGTCACGACAACTCCTAATCAGTCCGCAATTATAATTAATCTTATAATAGAAAGTAATGGCACATATCACAAAACCAAATTAATACTATCATAACCACCAGAATCATCACTTGAACTATCACTATATCACTTTCTACTATTGTTGTCTACTATACCAATCAATAGATATAGATCATACTTCATTTAGTAGAGATGTAGATTATACTTATAAATGGTGTTAAGTTTGTACCGGATAATAGTAGATGGAAAACTAATAGAGGAGAATAGGACTCGTTTTCATGTTCATTTCTTAACGATTATGGTAAGTTAGAATCAATTGGAGCCCTGACAACCATGTACTGTAATAGAATAGGAAAAAGTGTGAATCATTGTTGTTTTGTATGTCTCTAAAGTTAACCAAACATTTTTATTGGATACATCACAATTGGGCAAAACTTGTCCCACACCATGCATGCACATGTCAATATTTCTGATGAGCCCACCATGATAAAGGAAACAGTCATGTGAATTTTGGCTACTCAATCGGAGCAGGCATGGTATGGTATACAGGGATGGATCAAAAAGGGAAACGGGTAAGGCAATTGCTCTCTAAAAAATTTAAATTATTATATATTTTTTATTAAAAATTATTTTCGTCCTTTTAAAATTCCATAAGTTCATTTTCTATATAAAATCATATGTTTGTTGGTGGTATATTATATAAGATCACATATCTGACAAAATCGAGTCAAAAGTTCACCTCATCGAAATGTTTGAACCTCATTTCACTTGGGTGAATGTAGTTATCATTTCCAATCCCAAAAGCTTTTGCAGAGGGATTGATGTTCAGACATATATTTGAGTTTGAATATCGGATAGGAGTTTATTATGTACGTATTATATTCAATGTTTTACAAGATTTTGTGTATTTGAGACAACGTTTTTACATTTATACAATTGAATGAAAAAGATATTGGAAAAATTATGACTGATATTCGGAGAGAAAGTGAAGCTCTCGCCTCTGCCAGGAAGGCTCAAGAAGAAGACGATGCCACTAAGAAGGTCAGGTTCAAAGATCCGGAAGATCAGGCCATCACTGACGTCGAAATGGCAACGAAAAACCAGGCACCAGCCATAGAAACGGAGGTGCAAGCGCCACAGGCTCCCTCATATGCAACAATCCTATCCAGCAGTGGTCGGAATGATACTGAGGTTGACACACCAAAAGATTTCAATGAGGAAGAGATTGACATTACCGATGAAGACATTACCACTGGCACAAAGTTTGGCCTCCCTTCCATATAGTTCTCTGATCATGCTTACAAGTTAATGGAAGCAAATATGGCTAAAACAGTGGTTCTCAAATTATTGGAAAGAAACATAGGACTAAATGTCCTAAACAATAAGATTTATGCTTTATGGCGACCTTCTCGACCCTTCACACTTGTGGATATGAAAAACATATATTTTCTCGCTCGTTTTCAATCGGATGAAAACTATATTAAAGTGTTGGCTGAGGGTCCTTGGATTGTTTTTGGCCAATATCTTACAGTGCAACCATGGACTCTTGACTTTCGTACTTCCCAACCGTATCTTACGGCGGATCTAGAAATTTAAAAATGGAGTCCAAAATTTTAATTTTCTTTTCTTTAAAATAACGAGTATCAAAAAATTATATTTTTTTCCTTTTTTACTTAACACATTAAGTTAAATTTAATCACATTTCCAAAATAATGGGATGCACTTTACCCGGGTGCTTAATTCGCTTGGATCCGTCTTCCATCTACCCAAATATCTGTATAATAGGAAGATCCTCCATAGTATCAGGACTCTCATCGGAAAGGTGGCTAAGCTGGATTTCCACAAGGATATCAGTAACAGGACGTTTCACCTGAATAGAAGTTTACGTGAACCTAACGAAACCCCTAATCTCCAAAGTGATGGACGGTGAGAAGGTTCAAATGGTTGAATATGAGAATATCTCGCTCATATTTTTTTCTTGTGGCAGGTTTGGGCATCTGAAAGAGGCATGCACACAGGCAAACTATGGCCATGAGAGCTCAGAACCGAACCGCCCTCCAGTTTGAGTACCCCTGTGGATTTAAACAACAGTCAAGCGAAGGGTAGAGCAAACGGAAATGGTGGAGATACCAATAAAGGTTTGAACAATGAGACTACGGCACCATACGGGCCCTAGATGGTAGTAGAAAGACGGCGCCGGAAACAAAATTCCGGCACGTTGAAGAAATCGGAGCAGAGTAAGGAAATAAAAAATTTGGGAACACGATATGCTGCCTTAACTGAGGAATCTCATAAAAGTGGAAAGAATCCTAGGCAAACAGGCATGAAAACCGGGGCAAACAGTACTAATATACGACCCAAAATTCCCTCCACGAACAGAGGAAACAATCAACCCATACTCACTAAAACCCAAACCTCGCCCGTGAATAACGTGAGGGGCCACCAAATCGTTAATCAATCGTCAAGCACTAATGATTGTGGAGCACAAAGTTCTAATAAAAAACAAGGCAATAATATAGGCACAAAAAATGGTGGACAGTAATTCCGTGGGGGTTAAAAAATATCAAATGGCGCACGTTTACGATATTCTCTGGGCGCACGTTAGCAGGGCTAATGGAACCTGAGTCTCTCGTCGCGTTGCCAGTGATTTCGTCTGTCTTCTTCCGATTGCAACTCAATAGTTCATCTTTCTTAGTACCAAACTCTCCTTTGTTCAATGAATTGGAGGAAACTTTTCGGTTGTCAAGCAGATCAGGAGTTATCTTATTTTCCCCCAAAATCGAGCGAAAGGGTTCTGATTGTCCACCCTTCACCTGAGGTCTTTGAGGCCGGTACAGCAGAATGGAAATCCTCTATGGTGGGTCAGTTTCTTGGGGTTCCTCCCAATTTCCCCTCTCTGCAAAGAATTATCGGAAACCTCTGGAATCAACCATCGAAAGGGGCTTGCGTTCAGGTCAGTCTTGCTGGAAACAATTTATACATATTTTCATTCAATTCTGATACTGCAAGAGATTGGGTCCTCGAAAATGGACTATGGCATATCCTTAATAAGCCTTTAATTCTCAGAAAATGAGAGCCTAATCTTCAAAGGCTTGATTTCGATTTATCTCGCCTGCCTATCTGGATTCATATGTATAATGTACCTCTTGAATTGTTTTCTCGTGAAGGTCTTAGCTACATTGCTAGTGCTCTAGGAGTTTCTTTATCTATGGACTCAATTACTGCTTCTAAAACTAGACTAGAATATGCTAAGGTCTGCATTGAGATAGGTGCTAAGAAGGAAATCCCTAAAACTATTAAAATGGTCCTTACTAAAGGACAAACCACTACAATCTTTGTAGAAGTCCCCTGGTATCCTAACAGTTGTAGAAAGTGTGAATCTTTTGGTCATTCTGATAAAAGCTGCCATGTTAAAATGACAACAACTCCTACTTCTTCAAAAGTTTGGAGAAAAAAAGATGTCTTGAATGCTAATTTAGAATCCAAATCCACTGAAGGAATTGATGTCCTGCAGGAACCTATGCCAGACTCTTCTCCCTCAAAGGAAAAGTTTGAGCAACCTCAACTAGACTCTCCTACCTCAAAGGAAAAGTCTGAGCCCAATATTTTAGATCCAGATTTAGCAACTGAAAGTCATTCTTCAGTCCAAATAGAACCTTTTTCCAAGGGTGAACCATCTGTTTTCCCAAGTAATTTTACTGGTGAAAAAATAAATGTTTTATCCCATCCCTATACTCTAACTGAAGAATCTGTTAAAGGGGAACTTTCTTCTCTGGCTATCTCAACTATTGATAAGGAAAAAAAGATTACTTCTATCCCTAAAAGAGGTAGAGGCAGACCTCTAAAAGTCAAATCTAAAGTTGCTCTAAAAGAATCAGCAAAAAGATTTGAAATCCTTAGCATAGTTTATGAGAATTCACCTACTATTGAGGGACAAGTTAGAAAAGTTAGGCCTGTTGCTTCAGGAGTTGCAAATCTGCTTAAAGAACTTAACTTAAAAAAGAAGGAGCACATTGTTAAAGCAAATAGTTCTTTAGATAGAGATAAATGGGTGTACCCATCTCTCATTCCCAATGATTATTTTGCTTCTAGAACATCAGAGGATTAAACAATCCTAAAAAATAGAATAAAGTTCTTCATAGGGCCAATATTTATAATGTTGATATTCTTTGTTTGATGGAGACACGTGTTAAAGCTGATAAATCTGAAAATATTTTGCACTCTAAATTTGGGAGTTGGAATGCTTTTACCAATTATGACTCTGCTACCAATGGTAGAATCTGGTTTCTTTGGAAAAAAGGAATTGATATCTCTTTCTGTCACTCTTCTTCTCAAAGAATCACTGTCAAATGCCTTTTCAATAGTACTCCTTTTATCATCACTGCTATCTATGGCAGCAATGATGATCCTTCTCGGAGACATCTATTGCAGCACCTAAGAGATCTCGATTCTTCTTTTGGATCCCTTCCTTGGATTCTTGGAGGGGACTTTAACACCTATCTTCACTCCATGGAAAGCTCCGATTTTGATCTGTTAGGTCCTTATTTTTCTTCAGAAATGAAAGATTTTCAAGATGTGATTCAAGATCTTCATCTATTTGATCATCCTTTTTTGGTCCTTACTTCACTTGGAGTAATAAGAAAAAAGAATCTTACCTAGCAAGGAAACTTGACAGAGTTCTAATCAACTCTCCATGGGATAATTCTTTCCAGAAGTCATTTGTTGAATTCTTAGCTCCAGGGCCTTCTGATCAATGTATGGCACTTGTCTGGTTAAGCAAAAAGATTCAAACCAACCGCCCCAAACCTTTTAAGTTTTTCAACTTCTGGACCCACCATCCAGATTTTCTTGTTGAAGCTCAGTGTTCCTAGCAGCAACCTATCCAAGAAAACCCTATGCAAATATTGATTCTTAAATTAAAACGTCTTAAACCTTTCTTGCAGACCTTAAACAAGGACTTCTACAGTAACATCTCTGCTAGGGTAAGGTAAAAGAAAACAGAGCTAGAAAAAATACAAATCTTAACACTTAAAGGAATCAACCCTATTGAAAGAGAATTGAATGTTCAAAATGAGCTGATTGCACTTGAAGAAGCTGAAAATTTGTTTTTTAAACAAAAAGCAAAAGTACAATGGCTCAAAGAGGGAGACAAATGCACCAAATATTTTCACTATGTCATTGCTACTGAAAACAAAAGAGATACTATCAAGGTACTTATCAATGAACACGGAAAAAAGCTGGAATCTTATGATGATATGGCTTCTGAAGTCTTAGATTTCTTTAAAGCTCAACTAGGTACTACTAATCCTAATGTTCAACAAACTAACCCTCATTTCTTAAAAAATCTGCTACAAATCAACTTGCCTAGTGAGGCTATTTTTGATCTAATCAAGACCATCACTACTGAAGAGATCAAAGAAGCTATCTTTAATTAAGGAAATGATAAAGCTCTAGGTCATGATGGATTCACCCCTATCTTTTTTCAAGAAAACTTGGGTTGTGGTTGGAGAAGACGTAGTCAATGCTGTCAAAATTTTCTTTCAAGAAGCTTACCTTCTGTCTGCTTTCAACTCCGCTATTATAGCGTTGATTCCAAAGATTCACAATCCCAACAAAGTCAAGGATTACAGGCTTATCTCATGCTGCTCAGTGGTATACAAAAATATTACTAAAATTCTTGTACAAAGATTGAAAAAGTTGTTGCCAGACATTATATCTTTTAACCAGACTGCTTTTGTTAGAGGAAGAACTTTAATTGACAATACCCTCATTGCTCAAGAATTATGAAAGACTATGGAAGGAAGACTATCTCTCCAAGGTGTGCCCTTAAAATTGATCTTCAAAAAGCTTTTGATTCCCTCCATTGGGACTTCATTTCAGCTATCTTCATTGCCATTGGGCTACCAATCACTTTCATAAGGTGGATTGAAGCATGCTTTAAAGAAGCTAGATATTCCATTTCATTCAATAGAAGCTTGATAGGCTACTTTAAAGGTCAGAGGGGTATATGGCAAGGTGATCCTTTATCCCCAATTTTATTTGTGCTTGCTATGAACATTCTTTCAAATATCCTTAACATTGTTGCTGCCAGAGGAATCTTTGGGTATCACCAAAAATGCAAAAATATTGGCCTCACACATTTATCATTTGCAGATGATCTTTTAATTTTTTGTAAAGGAAACCTTGAATCAATTGCTGGAATCATTAATGTCCTTAATCTTTTCTATGACTGGTCTGATCTTAAACTAAATGTTAGTAAGACTGAATTGTTTGCTGGTGGAATTTCACCTAGAAACCTAGAGAATATCAAATTTACTATTGGTTTCAAGCAAGGTTTCTTACATGTAAGTTATTTAGGGATACCTTTATTCACTAGAAAGCTTACTGCACAGGACTGCCAGCCTCTCATTGACAAAATCAAAACAAGACTTCACTAATGGTCTGGTAAACTTTTAAGCTATGCTGGGAGACTTGAACTTGTCAAAACAGTACTTTTCAGTGTTGCCAACTACTGGTACATGCAACTTATTCTCCCTCAATCTGTTATCAACTGAATAGACCAACTCTGTTATCGTTTTCTTTGGAAGGGATCAGATCTGTTGAAAACATTTTGATGTTTTGATATAACAAATTAAGATAAATGCATTTTAAGATTTTACAAATGATTTTCTAAGTATACTCGATACAATTTTTCGAATATCAAAATTATTACTCCAAGTCTTTCAAGGTTCAAATTCAATCCCTACTAAAGTGTAAAATTGTGTTTTATACTTAAAATATTTTTGAAACAATTTTTCACAAAGTATTTCAAACAAAAAATGAGCCAAAAATCAATTTTATGAAGGGATGTACTGATGTACTCATTTAATGCATCGATGTACACCCATTTCGAATACAATTTATGCACCGATGCACAACCTAGTGTACCGATGCACTAAGTCTTCCAATATTCGAAATATTTGAATTTTACATATAGTGTACCAATGCACAAAGCCTATGCAACAATGCACAAAGTCTATGCATCGATGCACCATACGCTCCCAAATGTTTTATTAATTATTTTCACACAATAACGGCTCTATTGAGTCCACTAATGATCCCCAATGTTCATAAGTGATCCAATGTGTATTTAAACAAGCTTAGAAGCCATTAATCAGTAACAATTATCAAGAATCAAGAGAGAATCAAAGAGAAAGCATCAAACCTCAAGTTTGAGCATTTTCAAGCATATTTCATTCAATATTCATTTTTGCTTTCAATAACACTTATTGTGCTCAATTTTATTATTCTTGAGTTTTCTTTCTTTGTTCTAGAATTGTGCAAACATCTTTCCTTGTGAGGATTTTCTTGTAAGTTTGTAAAATTTGTATTGTTATCTTTGGGAGAGAATGTTCTCAAGAATTTAGGGTATAATTCTTGAGGGATTTGTAAGGTTACTATGTGTCCTCAAAAGAAAGACAAATTAGTGAATTTGTGGAAAATCCTTAGTGTGGATAGCTAAGGTAGTGGACGTATACTTTGGTTGAGAAATTCGAACCACTCTAAATCGCTGTGCAAATATTTTCAATTTTCTGCAAAAGCTTCCACTGAAATTTTTATTACCAACTCACCCCCCTCTTGGCTGATTCCATCGATCAATTAAATCAATAATTGGTATCAGAGCCTCACTCATTTGAAGGTTTAATCGCCTCTTGAGTCGATTCAGGAAGAGTTACATCGATAATCAAGTCATCAATGGCCTCTACTTTAAACCACGACTTTGGTCTTGATTCATTGCCCGTCAACAAGCCTCCTTTCTTCATTGGAGCTAATTATGCTTATTGGAAGAATAAAATAATGTATTTCATTCAAGAAAGTGACATGGGAGCATGAAATATCATATAAGACAGATATATCAAACCTTCCACTCATCCAAGATTGTGGAGTGAAGGAGAGACAAGAATGTTCCAGCTCAACTCCAAAGCTATCCATATTATCTTTTGTACTCTTGGACTGGATGAATACGGGAGAGTATCATCTTGTACAACCGCCAAGGAAATATGGGATAAACTACAAGTCACTCATGAAGGCACAAACGAGGTAAAAGAATCCAAAATTAGTCTTCTAACTCATAGCTATGAAAATTTTAGGATGAAACTGGATGAAGATATCAAAGCTATGACGGATAGATTTTCCACGATTTCCAATGGTCTCAAATCATTTGGAGAGATCATTCCAAATGAGAAGCTTGTGAGGAATTTAGTTTCCTCTCTTCCAAAATCTTGGCAATCAAAGAAGACGACGATCATCGAGGCTAAAAATTTAAAATCCTTAACTCTCGATGAGCTAATTGGTTCTATCCTCACTCATGAAATGATGCTTCAAGATGAGGTAGACCTCGAAAAGACAGACGAGATAAAGAAAGAGATGTAGAAGAAGAAGAAGAACTTGGGAGTTGCTCTCAAATCCACAAAAGATGAGAGTGATTCGGATGAAGAAGACGATGACGAGGAGATGCCATTATTTGCCAAACGGTTCAAAAAATTGATGAGGCCCAACCGAGGAAAAAAATTCAAACGCAATGAAGAAAAAGGGTCAATCAAAGAAGAAATACAAGGCTCATGTGGCTACATGGAGCGATGAAGAATGTTCCGATGAAGAGGAACAAGAAGTTGCAAACTTTTACTTAATGGTCGTCGGGGAAAACTCTCAGGTAACCTCTAACTCATTTGATTTAGATGATTTATCTTATGATGAGTTATTAGAGGATTATAATGGGTTGGCTTCAGATTATAAGACTTTATTTTCAAAATATAAAAACGATATTTCAAAATTGAAAAATGAAAATAGTTTTATGTCCAAAACCAGCAATGATCTTGAAAGTAAGATCAATGAACTGCGAATCAAATTAGATGAATTTGAAAATAAAAAATAATGATTTGCATAACTTACTTTCAATAGTAAATGACGATCATCAAAAGAAAATTGATGATCTTAAAGCTTTTTTCAATAAGGTTGATTTAAAACTTTTTGAAAAATGAGAAAGTTCAAAAATCAACTTTGTTAGACAAAGTTTTAAAAACTACAATCATAGAGGTCCCCGAAGAACCTTTAATGGAAAAATCGTTA